AAAAAGGCCCTTGGGCGGGAAAGTGAAACTTTCTTAAGATGGCCGTCCCAATGCTGAGCAAGGACCTTACTGCAGTTATAACTGATTCATCATTGCATGATACTTTTAAAATAACTTCTCTAAATTCCCTAAGAAATTCTGGAATGTACACAAATATGTCTCTTTTCTTCAGCAGTGAATCTGGAACAGGGGTCCACTTTATGCTTTGAATACTGAAGCCAGATTTAATGTTAAGTAGTCAGTGTAGTTAGGTAAATCGGGTCTAATATGGAGTGAAATCTAAGATGGAGGCCATGCTGGGAATGACTCAGGGAAAACAGGACAACTCATGGAATGTTAATGAAGTCCGAAAAGGCCCTAGGCCAAAGTCCACCTCAAAGAAGTGTTAACCAACAGCCCCAACAGATTTGGAAATAGCCCATTCCAGAGAAGTGATAATCCCATCCCAAAAGGTGATAATTAGGCCCACCTGTGTCCCACCCCTCGGGCCTTCCCACTTACATTCCATCACCAAAACTATAAAAAGGGGAAACAACTGCACTTCCACGGATTCCACCTCTTGGGTCACCTTCTTCCTCTGGGAGAAGACTTTTCTGCTGTCCTTTAATAAACTTCTAATTTCTACTCTGACCTTGCCTCGGTGTGCTTCTTTGGTGTTATTCTTCAACATCGGGGAAGCAAGAACTCGTCACCGGTCAACAGCAGTAACAATACAATCCTTGCTGCTCTGCCTCTGTAACTTATTTCTAGAATAGACATGTTTGTTTCCCTGCTCCTCCCTAATCTCTCCCCCTCTCCAATCTTAGGGGAACAGGATTACTTTTCTTCCCCATCCTAGGCAGATTTATCTGTCCTTGAGTACACATCCACCATAGGAATGAAGTCATCCAGACTTTGGGGATGGTACCAGAAGATCTCAGAAATGACTGTCTCCCAAATTATCAAGTGAATTACCACTCCGACAGAGAACACGTGGAATGTAGCCTTTGAGTCACCTCTTTGAAAGCCCCTGTTTCTGTTGACGGGGGAGGAAACACAGCCTTTGGGACAGGAGTCCCCTGTGTTTCTCCTTTACTGAAGGTGAAGCCATAAACTTTCTTTTTCTTAAAACTATGTCCTTGTTATTGGATTGGCATTGGGGACAAGGACTGAGCATTCAGCAACAAATCCTTAGAAAGGTGGTTGTCACTTAGTGCACAAAAATAAATATTTGCTAAAAAGTAAACAAAATTGTTGACCTCCATGGTAATCAATATTAAATAAAATTTGCAGGAGGCCATTGGTTTGGACTGAGCTCCTACACCAGGCCTAAGAGACCAAACCAAAATGGAGTCGCTCATGCTGAAGTTCCATGTCACCTAGCTGAAACTAGTTTATCTGACTTTCTGAGAAGTCAGGAGAGTTAAAGCCAAATTTCTCAAAAGGCCAATTTTAGCTGGCCCAATAAGGAGGTCTGCTTTGCTTAGGAAAACCAACTTTGAAATGACTAATATGCTTTTTGGTTTCTGTTTCTGCTTTCCTCAGCCTTTTTTTCTGTCTATAAAACCAAACTCTTTTGCTCTGGGTTCATTGGAACACTCCCATTTTATGGAATGAGGTGTCCACGGATTCTAGACTCACGAATAAAAGCCCGTTAACATCTTTAAACTCATCTGTAATCTTGTTTTTTGACATGAATAATGCCTGGTGGTTTTCCACATGTGGTCTTAGCATCGGCATCACCTGGGAACTTGTTAGAGATGCAAATTATCAGGTCCTACTTAACAAGCAGGGGTTGAGCAATCCCTAGTTAAATATGCCTTCCAGTGTGATTTTGATTCACACTCAGATTTGAGGCCATGGGTTAGATTGCTATAATGTATGCAGGAGGCACACCCTAGAACTCAACCGCAGCTGCTTGGGTTTGCTTCCTGACACTATTCCTCAAAAGCAGCATTTTACAACTGCGTGGCCAATTGCAGCATAGTGAATTCTTGCTTTGAATACAATCCTTTTTTTTTTTCTTTTCCCTCTCACAATCTTTGGAGTTGCATTTCCTTTGGCTGTGGTCAAACCTGATTTGAGCCTTCAGGTCTCAGTTGACATTTGCTTTCCTCCTCTTGTCTATCTCAGTTCCCTGCTTGTTTGTTTCGCTCAGAACAGTCTTTATTTCTACAATTAATTCATTTGTTCTTGTTTCTTATCTGCCCTCCAGGGCAGGGACTACAAAAGTTTTGTTTACCTCTTGTAAAATAAAAATTCTAGGAGGCCTAAATTCTAGGAGGCCTAAGCTCCGCACTAGACCTCAGCAGGGGAGGCTAAACATAAAAATGGAGTCCCTCATGCCAAAGCTCCATCTTACCAAGCTGAAACCAAGTTGTTTATCTGACTTTATGAGCAATTAGGATTGGAGAAAAACAACCAAATTTTCTCAGATCAGTTTAATTTGGTGAAGTTCCCTCATCTCAATCCTTAAACACTATAAGTAATCTGATGTTAACCAGCTATTTTTCTATTGTCTTCCTGTCAGCCTTCAGGAGAGTAACTTTGAAACAACAAATCTGTTTTTTTTTTTTTTTTTGATGGGGGGGTTCATTGTGATTTTCTTTTGCCCTTTTTCTATCCATAAGGCCAACGTTTACAGCTGAGCTCATTAGAACACTTAATTCTATTTTATGGACTTTAGTGTCACCTGATTTTATAATTGGAAAGTCAATGGAGATCGTTGGGCACAATTGTCCTTTGACACTTTCGACTCCTAGGGCTAAATTGTGTGTGTAACGAAGGTAGATAAGCTCCGCGAGAGCAGGGCCTGTGCGCCGCCAAATTACTAGCCCGGAGCGTGGCATTTGAAATGCGCTCCGCAAAGATTTGCAGCATGAAAGAAGGAAGCGAAAGAAAAACCTCCCCTTTACTAAAATGGCAGACCCCGTTTCCTTTACCAAGATGTCTGCGCGCAGGCGCACGAGAC